ATATTTATATTATGTAGTTTATATATATTCCTATTGAATTGACATAAAAATGTATGCCATGTTTTTTATTCTGTACATTAAATATTTGGTTATTATCGACGCAATTTGTCGAGTGGAGATAGCACACACAAGTGCCTATTTACTTTGGTTCTACGCGTGCCTATCATCTTATAACACATTGTATCTTTAAAGTTTCTTTGACCATTGTTTGGTTTTCCATTTTGGTTTTGATTTAGTGTAGTATGAATAAAAATATCATCAATAATATTTATTAATAGTTGATTAAGGAATAAATACCTCTATTGTTCCAACTCGCGCATTCATAATGGCATTAGCCTATAATTATATCTATTTATCAAAAATTTGTTTCTTAGTTGTATTAAGCCTTTAACAAATTACTAATTAATTAGTATAAACATAATATTATAAATAGAACACGGATAAATGATGTGCTCGCGTTGGTTAAAGGAAAGTACAACCCAAAATGACATATTCAGATATTAATTTTACATTACATTGTTAATATGAATATACTAAACGGTGAAGTGATGTAAGGAAACAAAATATAATTTAATAAAAATAAATTATTATCATTAATAAATACTATTGTATTTATGGCTGACGGCTCATCTCGTTAGTGACTTCATTATAAATTAAATTTTGATAAATGTTCAATTATACCGAACTTACAAGTACATACATTTGTATTATAAGATAAATTAATATTGGTATTCGCAACAAACCCGCGCAATTTCAGTACAGTCAACCGATACCCATCTGTAAACTTGCATTGTGGACTTTATATCAAAACGATAAAGTTGGTTATCTAATAAAGCAATTTGACAAATTGGAGTATGTTGGCCTGCTATAAACTGTGCCTAGAGACACATGAATTGACTCTCATTTAATGCTATCATCGACAATCTGCAGCGCTGCAGATTAGCTCTTGACACAAATCACGGGCGATTTAGACCTGGCGAGCAGCTGGACACTGAAATTGTTAACAATAGATTCCATGCAGGGGATAAATAAGAAACATACTTTTGGCCATGCAACTTTCTAATTTGTATTTACGCTGCTCATGAGAAAGAACCCCTCTTGGTTCGAAACTAGTAGAGCTTTTCTCAGTATTTTTACGTGAGTAAACCCGCGATTTTTGGTTAAAAAATATCACAATAGTTATTAGATTATGGTAACGTTTGTAGCCTGCATAAGGAACAAGATTTATGAATATTGTCAACAAAAATATTTCGCGTATATACCTAGGTGACTGAGATCTGTAAAACCAGCGGAAAACTTTTTCCTCCATAATAGGAGGAAGAGGAGAGGATAGTGAAGTGACTAGGTATATCAAAACATTAATAAAAATAACGTTAACTTGTCCATTTCTATATTAGTATATTAGTTTACTCATTCTGTTACATTTTGAACAAACCTATACATGTCATGATGCCATGGTATCAGGTAGATACAGGTCAGGTCGAATGTAGATATTGGCGGCCTCTCGTCATTTGTTGGTTGCATGCATTCGTAAAATAATGGAGATAAACTACCTAACCTAAGATAAACCAACAACGAGGACCGCCCGGAAGACACGGTGGAGCATACAATGGCGGTGTAACCTGCGTTGGCTGATCACCGCCGTGTCCTCGGGAATATGATCGGCGACGGCGACCTCTCGCGTCCGGATTTGGTTCAGACTATGGTAGCAAGGGGGACTGGGATGCCGTCTCCTCCTTCTGCGAAGCAGTTATGCTAGATAAAGAGGAAGCGGGGCGCGTGAGAGAACGAAACTTCTCACGCCCTAGCCGTCACGAGAGACACTTCGACCACCATAAGCACGGGCCTGCAGACGGCGAGCACGGGTAACTCGCCGTCCGACCAGAACCAGACGCAGAGCGTCTCACGCGCGCGTCGAGGAGCCATCTGACCACCACAGATGGGGCCCAAAAGGGCTGATGCCGACGCGGAGCGGCGGAGGGCTTAGCGGATTGCCGGGGTTCGAAGTGCAGGAGTAGGAACGGGGTGGTTTTTAGTCAGTAAGAGTCTGACACTCCCTCTCGCCTCACCCGGGAGGAAGAAGACATCGGATGATTTCCCCTCTCAAAAAAAAATAAACTAACGATGTCTCTTGCTTTTTAATAACACAAAATGTACCATAACTAGTAAACAACTGCACCTGATTCAAGCATTACTTACATTATATGATTATGTAGGTGGTACAACAGTCCTTTTCATTTTCCCTTTACAGACTAGCATAAAACCAACTAAATAAATGTCAGTGGCCAGTAGTACCAAATAACTAAACCAAATTTGGACATACTGGGATGCATTCCCTTTGTTCAAATGCATCTGCATGCGTCACACGTGAAAGAACATAATGCGGGTTCATAGAATAACCCACTTGACAATTGAATGGGAGTATTTATTGCAATAAATATATTATTTAGAATCCGATGACACATTTATTCGAGTTTAATGATCATTAGTCATTAAATGAAGTACGTTCCATCAAATAATAAAGGAATAGCAGAAAAACAATAACCGATATTTTTGAATAGTACAATTTCCTTCAAGGTATTTCTTTGCAGCCATAGAACCGATTTTATTGATTTAATGAATCTATGACTCCAAATCTACAGCAATTTCTTATTCTACAAATCACTAGTTTCTGTTATTTGTCACATGTTGTTTTCAACAAATAAGTTTGTTCTCCATGTAAGCAGGCTAAGAATGGCGTTGTCCTAGTTGATTGGATGATAAACATAAATATGTTCTATAAATAAGTTACTTGGGGTGGCTGATGATTTTGATCCCTCCTGATTACATTTATATGTATCGTGCTGCACATACAATTTGACATTTTCGACTAAGCATGCTTTTTTCTTGTTTAACTTAAGAACTTCTAGCGCTATTCCGACGTAGCTGTTAGTTAAGTTTTATAAACTGTCACCCGTTATTTAGGCTGTTGCATTTAATGTTAAATAGTAGTAGAAAAACATTAAATAGTAGTAGGATGAAACCCATCGCAAAGGGAAGGGTATGTGGTCAAACAATTAAATATTCTTTTGCATTTACAGCATTAATGTTGCATATTTTTGTCTTCTTAACAGACAGTCGAAATTTTATTGCACAATTAGCTTTTTAAATATTTGTTTTTTTAATATTTTATTTTTAAATGATGTTATTTATTTGCCCTCTTTGCAAAGGGTTTCCAACCGTTATTGACGCTATCAAGGTACTCTGGTCTAATTGATATCAATGTATCTATGATATTAAACCGGCACCTTCAAACCATATAACAACCTTGCTCTATGATTACCATTAGTAATTAAAAGCCAATGCAATTTTCCTTTATCTTAAATCACAAAGAAATATAAAGCAATCTTAATTTTATTACAATCAACGGAATGGTACGATGCTATAAAATGGTCAGGGATAGCACTTTCACATAATAATAGCATTGCAACGATAATTTTTTCACTAGAAACGTTATTCATATTACAAATACCTAATTAATATATGTATAATAAGAGTGTGTTTTTCCTACCTACTAAAAAATCGTAGTTTCCACTGGCATTCGTACTCAACTCATTAGTCATTATTCGTGATATCTATACAGAATTCCACATCACTAATACACTTGTTCGCCCCTCCAATCGAGGTACCTAGGAGTGTAGTCGCGCCGAGAGCTAGGTGTGGGCTCAGCACAATAGTCCAACTAGGTCAATACTTAAACCGTTGTTTGACTATTGTCGCATATTTGCAATGCTACTTATTTGTGTGAAACATACTCTACGAATTATGGTCAACAGTGGATTTATTTTATCTTTATTTTTCGATTGCAAAATCAACTACCAAACCAACTTTAACGTACCTATTGGTTTTGTTTTAAGAAAGTAATAATTAAGATATGGTATATTTATTCAAGAATATACAAAAGAACTAAATAGGTATTAAGCAGCATTCTTCAAATTTTAAAACAAATAAGTAGTACCTACATGTCACATCAAGACGTCGTCGTGGGACTTTGTTCTTATAACGCACGTAATTAAAGATCATGCAAGTGCGTCATACATTCTTGCCTTTCCTTTTTATTCCCAGTACTACAGTAAGTTGTTATCAAACAGACCGCAAGGACCAAATGATCAACTTATTCATCGTTTTTGTGACACATGCGTAAGCGCATGACCACTTTTTTATCTCTTTTTCATCATCACGAGAGACGATAAGTACAAAGCACTTACAAAGTCATAAGATAATCGAGATATTACAAAACACCGGACATTAAACAATCGTCATAGCCTATCGATATCCTGTCATAACAGTGTTCTTATTAAAACAATTTCCTTCACTTACGACAAGAGATAGAATTGGAGATTGATCGCATGTATTTATTTATTAAACAACTTCGTGTGTACGACTTCACAGACTGTCTCTCTCAATGATGTTTTAGATGTTAATCACAATTTACCCAAACCAAATGCAATGGTGAATAGACCAATGTTCAACATAGCAGGTACAAAATGTTTACATGATGACTAAATGGATACTTTCGCGTTGTACAAACAATTAAAATTGTAAGAAAACGAGTCATACCGAGTTTAAAGACTGCCATCTGTAGACTTTGCTTTATATAGGTAGAAGAAGTATGACTACTTAGTGTAACAATATATGTACCGGTAATGATATCATGTAGTTCTATAAATACGAGACTTCCCTGACTCAACATTCTCTCGGACCTTGACACACAGATTACTAACCACTTTAGTACCTTACCTTTAGTACTGTCTATCTCATAATAATATAAGTAGTCAACTCTGGGAAATGCAAATAATGTGAACACCTTATTAAAGAACATGTTTAAAAATACAATAAGAAATTCGCGCAGCTGCAATTAATTTTGGTAACCTCGTCGACGACACAAATAAGAAAGCCTTATAATACAATAATTTCTATACTATTTTTCATTTTCGTAAACATCATTGAACTAGACTTACCTTAAGGTAGCACCAGCCGCACCTGGTAAACTCCGAAGTGTACTTAGTAGCGAACCCGCAGGTCAAATGCTCCGCGATTTTTTGAGCCCAGTTGCGACGTTCAGAAGCGCTCGCGCAGCTGAACAGTATTTTGCGAGGAGAGCTTCTCATGCCCCCCGACGATACCATTATCTCGAAACAGTACGAGTTACTTGTTGTACTAAAACAAAAACATAAATTAAGTATTTCATTGCGACAAAAACCGAACAATGTTTATTTTAAATCTACAGCGGACCCCGCCGACTTGGTTTGCCTTAATTAGACTCTGTGCATTTTTTTTGAAATTTCAAATTCTTACCAACATTCTTCTAAAAAAAAAACAAACATAATAAAATAGACACAACTAGCGAAATTGGTTCAAGTGTTCTCAAGATTTACGCTCAGCAACACAACGATTCTTGTTCAAAATAAAGACTAGGTACTTAGGATAATTTAGGTGTATACATTGTACATACATTAATACGTCAATACTTCCTTTTAGGATTTTGCATAATTAGTGGAACTAAATTAATAAATAATAATGCTTTTAAAATGTTAATGCCTTGAACTAAGGATAATAACTACCTAGAATGTTAGTAGTTAAGTATATTTGTAAAATAAAATAAAACAAATAGGTATCTACATTAGTTTGTTGGGCAACTGATTAAACTAACTATCTAGTGCTATTGTCACATATAGTTATTACAACAGATAAACAGATAATGATGATATTAATTGTAAGTCTTTCTAACTTTAGATTATGATAAATAGAAAATCAAGATATTGTGCAATAACTTTACTTACCTAGAGGACAGAGGCAGCACAATCTGTACAGAATAGATATTGTCCAATGTATAAGCTTCTTTCAATATGGAGTTTGTAGGATCTGAGTAACATATCAACTTTTGATCAGAAAGCACACAAAATCTTGTCTGTGAGTTCTTAAATAAATCTTCTACTACTCCTGATACAATGCGTGTCAGTAACCCACTAAAGTATGGCACTGGTAATGAGTTGACTGGTGGCCTTTCCACAGTTTCCACCTTCTGTGGAACTGGTTTGGATGACTTATTTAATTTCTCAAATTTTAATATGTGAGAGAATTTTTGCATAACTGAATTTGTTGGTTTATTTTCCTCTTCTGACACAGATTTCGCATCATTATTGTCTGCACTAACAAACCAGTTAGAATTTCTATCTTTATCAACAACATTTAGTTTTGTCGACTTTGTGTCTGGAAATAGACTGTCTGAACGCTCTGGTGGAGTTGGTGGATTAAAATATTCACTTTCACAAAATTCAAAACTATCCTCAGTAGTATCTGAGGCCACAATCGTACCATAAGTATCTCCAATTAAGAAGGATTCTAGTAGTAACAACTCATTACTTACACCATCATACCGCTGTGGTGAAGTACTTGCTTGTAAAGGATCAAACTCATATATTGTACTTTTACTTGGCCTTGGCAACTCTGTATCATTTAGCACCGTTTCTTTAACAGGAACTGAACTTTTAATCGATTGGAAAGGTAAGGTCCAGTTTTCATACATAGAATTTTGTCTCATTACTTCCATTGATACAGCACTTTCCCTCTTTTTCCTTCTTTCTGGAATGTCTGGACTTGATCCAATAGATGTTGAACTCAGAGAACTAACTATGCTGTTAGTTCTCGACGGTTTTGGAATATCATATGTCATTTGTTCACTTTCCAGAGTTAAACTAGAAGCATTATGTTCTAATTCTCTGCTCATGTCATAAGAATAACTGCTAACTGAATCTGTATTATCTGAATTACTAGAGAACAGAGACAAATCATCAAAATTAGATGTATTCAAATGTAAATTAGGGTGTTCCTGGTTTTTCGGAGCACCAAGCCCATCATTGTTAAATCTCTTTTGTTCCAGAAGCGGTGAATTGAATTGTATATTGTCAAATAAACTAACATCAACAGCTGGCATTGAAACACATCTTTGTGGGTCATTTTCATCGAGACTGTCTGGTTTCTTTGTCCTCCTTAACCTAAGGCCCGCTGTCCTAGTTCCTTCTATCACAGACTTAGTCACAGACTGACGCACAGCTCGAGAAGTTGTAAGTGTTTTTTCCAATGTATCTTTGGCAAATTTTGAACCATCTTGAATGGATCTTTCTAACTTTTCATTAGCAGTCTTAGCAGAATTACTTACTTTCAGTGCCACATCCTCAGATAGTTGCTTTGAAACAGTACTTATTGATTTAAATATGTCAGAAGCAGTGACCCTTTCTGTAGGCTGAGGCAATTTGGTACGTGGAACAGGCACAGGCCGAGTTACAGGCTCGCAAGGAGGCAAAAACGCACTCCTTGGTTTTGGTACCGGCGGCGAATCCATCACTTTGATTTAACACGAGGCAGCTATCACTAAATAACTATTTTAAAACAAGAGATAACATTGTTATAATGGTCTATACGCAACACAAACAAAAACTAGAATGACTCACTAAGAAACAAATTACACATATCACTGTGACCCGAATAATTAATTTGAGTGACAATCGTACGGTCTACAACCACAATCAAACAAGAAGACGCTATCAAGAACTGTATTAATGGACGCGACGACGTCACGTAAAGTGGATAAAATGTGCATGAATTAAACACTACGTTTCTGTTTTCAAAATCATCTGCGCTCACACACAGCGCAAGCGATTGTGAGTATTAAGACAGTGTTACCAGCTGTGAAAATATTATTTCAATTGAATTGCTTTCTTGAATCTATCATGTTATAAAAAATTGTTTTAGAAATAACGATTAACTTGGTTATTACTAGCTATTAAATCATATTGTAAATAAATTCAATGTTGAATAATATAACAAAATATCGAATTTAAGCGGACGTACTCTTTCGTCGTAACTCGTCTTTTTAAAACACCGAAATAGTGCCTTCTATTGTCATCATGTTAGTTTTGGTTTGATTTAGTTTTAATTAATTTAGTTTAATAAAGAAGGCTTTTTAATGACGATACTATTATATGACGATACGATTTGTGACGTGTTTAAATAGAAATCTTACTTGATTTTGCATGCATACCTGTATAATATGTATGACTACGAATTTTATGCAGAACCACAATACAGATACCTATGTACTAGTATATACATACGTCGGTGTCATATCATAAACCCATCGGTATGAAAATTAAAAATCGTATTGAAACTATCGATGATACGGATAGAACAAAGCACTTGGTAAGTTGTCAACTTATCAAAATTGTTCAGAACCTATCATCATCATCATTATATCAGCCACAGGACGTCCACTACTGAAAATAGGCCTCCACCAATTACTTCCAGTTAAACCGCACCGGTTGGAAGTCTAAAACAAACTTATGCGAGCAACTAATTGCAACGTGTAATATTGCTCGAACTATTCATTGAGGAGTTCATAGTCAACAATTTTTTCTTTACCATAAAAATAGCATATGATACACCGACATCGTCAACACAATCATATTGTAAGAAATCAAGCGATCCAACGCCGGTGCCAATGAGACTTTTAAGTCAGCATGACAACTACAAACTGACATTTATAGAAACTGAATATTGCAGCTAGTCAGGTCTAATTTAATTGTTTACATCAAAATCAACATGTTATAACCTTACTGGGCACTTAAGTTTTCAATAATGATCGAGTTTCACACTATACCTACATATTAGCAACATGAAATTAGCACAGAAACAAGATACATAGTAATTTTGTTTGTTTTTAAGTACCTATATTTTATTTTATTTATTGGTTTACCAATCAATTGTTAGGTACACACTAGTTCAAATTTTAGGTTACATGCAACATATACATACTTTACTCAAGTGTTACAATCACCACATGCGAATCCAGGTTGTACAAAAACAAACAAGAGTTAACCACTTACAATTAAGAAATAGTAACAAAAACTAATTTGATAACAAATACGCGAGCGTACGCCGCGTTGCGTTGCGTTCCGCGCATTCCACAGATGGGGCCCAATAGGGCCAATGCCGATTCGGTGTCGCGGAGAACCTAACGGGTAACCGGGCTCCAGCTCGACGTGCAGGAGAAGGAACGGGGTGGTTTTTAGTCAGTAAGACTCTGACACTCCCTCCCGCATCACCCAGGCGGGAGCAGTGATTCGATGAATTTCCCCCCTTAAAATAAAAAAAAAACAATTTGAAATTAATAAGCGGCAGAAGAATTAATTAGAACTAATGATCACTGTGATGTATGATGCTTTCGAAAGGAAAAAAGTGTCTATGAAATTGAAGTGTTTACAAGAAACATTTTCTTCGAGTGACTTTACAGTCGTATGCCTTGAATTTAAATTATGAATGCATTTAATTCCTAGCCTAGCTGGATTCACTAACACTCCTGCACATTCGTGCTGTGGACGTGAAATATGCAAAATTTACTCAATATACCTAGGGAACAATAATGTGGTCTCGTGATCAGTAATACTCAGTAATACTCAATGATCAGTAATTAGAATTTAGTCAGGCGGTATTTACTAACATTTGAGGTAAAATGTTGTTTTATCTCCTATTTCCAGATTTTATGTAGGCATATCATCCAATAACTTCTCCCGACTTGGGACAGGCGAGAGGGAGTGTCAGACCCTTAATGGGTAAACCGGCAACTCGTTAAGTCTTCTGTGGCTTTGGTGGTGGTCTCTTTGAGACGCGCGCGGAACACCCGGTGGCGTACGCTCGGGTCAGCTTGCTAATCCGCTGGGTTATGTTAACGACTTCCGTTGGTTTGTGGATCTTCTTCTTTTCTGATTTAAGTACAGCTTTAGCACGCTGAGTGACCTTAAATAAGAGCACGTTTCTTTTCCGTAGGTCATCACTGGTAACACAATGATTGTAGAATTCCGTCTTGAGAATCTTGAGATACATAGATAAGTTGGACGAGAAGACATAAGATGTTGCGTTACGTAGTTTCCCAAACACGTCCCTTTTAAGTTGAATTCGGCGATTGATCTCCATCTCCTACGTGCAACATACGACATGTCTTGTCCAATGTTATTCAGAGCCCTATTTGTTGGGAAGCTCGATAGGACATCATGACAACAATGTTGTAAACTCAAAGAAAACCTAACGTTCTCCGCGACTCCGAATCGGCATCGGCCCTGTTGGGCCCCATCCGTGGAAAGGCTAACGTCACGCGGTGGTGGTGTTCCCAGGCGGTCACCCATCCAAGTACCAACGGCGCCCGATGTTGCTTAATTTTGGTTACCGGACGAGAACCGGTGAACAGCTATGGGGAAATGACCCCTCCTTACCTTACGATTCGCTGTAGGGGAATTTCCTTCAAGTTCAATATGGCTAGCTCACATAGCGATGCTTTAGCTACGTCGCCATGCCGTCTTAATAAGACAGAGCTCTAAGTTTCGATCAAATCAGAGGCCTTTGGTGTTGGCTCCTTTCTTGAAGAACACACCCTCTTCTGTTCCTTGCATATAACGTTACTCGTTCGAGCAAGACGAAGTTAAAGACAGTCTGAAGGATTTTCAATCCAGCTTTTTATATAATTCCAGAAGCTTTAAAGTGATTCGATCATCACCATATTGTTCTTAAGCTCTTTAAACACTTGCAATTACTTTGGAGCCTCTTTAATACTATTCGTATTAAGTTATTATTGGATGTCATTTCGCAGAGATTTTCATATCTGTCTATTGTGTTTCGAGCGTGTGATCAGGAAGTATTTCCGTCGAGGTATAAAGACTGGTTGGACAGCATCCGAATGGTTCGGCCCAAATGTCAAATTGTATATTTGTAACCGCACGGCACCCACGACACAGGAGAAAATCCTTAATTTAGCAATTTGTCGCAACCAAATTTTTGAAAAAAATACCGCCTCACTACTCTCGACACGACACTTCGTTAGAGTAAGATCTCTCTAGACACAGTAGACACTAGCAACTCTTAGAGGTGCCGTCTTCGTATACATATTCATTATGGCAGGGTGTTTGGAAGATGGAAGCTAAACTTGAAAGGGTTTTATCTCGCACTATCTATCTACTGAATCGTCGCATAATGCTGCTCATGAATATGAGCCTCTAGCATGACTTGAAACCAGTCGAGCTCTTCGTCAAACAGCGACGTGTGGAAGCTGAAAACATAATAATTAATTTAGTACCTATGTCTCACGAAAGTTTTAATATAAACATGTTATAAAGGTGTAATCTAAGGTAGCTGACTTCCTTTCTTTGCAGCGACCCTTCGTACACACACGCATGCCATTTACGTACTTATTGACTAGCTATTTAATGTGTGCGTGAATGCTATGCATGTGTGTATGAGGCGTATTTACGCCCCTTGTATGTATGTATAATTTTACGCATGCGCCAGAAATTGGCTCGGATTTGTAACCCTGTCGACAAAGCAGTCGTAGTCCACTCCGCTGCATGGCCGGTCCTTTATTAATTCATAAGTTTAACAGTGTCGAGCGCGAAGTAAAGTAAAGGTGAAGTTTTACAAAGTGTTTTGCGTAGGGACGGACACAATACTTTCAGAGATTTGGGAGATCACTATCTGTCTTTTACCCGTAAACCCTTCGTCGTAAATGTAACGGTTGGTAACATAATTATGATTTTTTTGAATTGAAAAATTTACCATAAATGTTTCCTTTAACGATATTCGATTTTGTTGTCTGAGTAATCTGAGCGCTTGTTTGTTGGTCTTTTAAAAGACTTTGAGAGAAACTAAGCGCGGGACGTATTGTTGACGGGGCCTCCCCCGGGGATTAAATTCTTTAATTCTCGTCTGTTATTTTTTGAACTTCTAAATTATTATTTATAAAAACTAACGAAAGGCATTCGAACTTAGTTTTATTTTAAATAATTCTTTAGGTTTTCTAATAAGTGTCTATAGAAAGGATGAAACAATGGGTAATATTGAACCTCTCAGTAGGAATTTGATACCCCTTAACGGATAGGTATTCTTACCTATACTAAATATAACTTAGTATGACGATTAAAGTCAAAACACAGTGGTTTCGGAGTTATAGTACCTACCTAAAATATTGCTAAGAAAATGTTCCCGAGCTAAGGAAATAATGATTGTAACTCACTTAATTGTGTGATAAACATTCCAAAGCTCATTGTTTTCATCTCTACTACTTCTACGAGTAGGAACCTACTTACTAAGAAGGCAGTTTAATAATTAATAGCAACCCATCCTAAGATTAACCTCGGGGATTGACTCGTATGCGTGATATTATTTAGTAACGAGCTGCTCTAGTACCGAAGATGGTCTTAAATTAGAAGTGTAGGAGTGTAAGAGGTAGAAAGAACATCTATAAGATAATATAAAAATATTGTACAATATCCCTAGAGAATACAGATTAAGACTAATTAG